CCCGGCGGTGGGTCCGGGTCCCGCAGGTTCCCGTGAGTCGCCTGGATAATTTGGGAGTTTGGAATGACGCGTGCCCGTGTCATTCCTTCGGTTTAACCGGTCGGTCGGCAGTAAACACAAGATGTGGGCAGCCGAGCCGGGAAGGGGACGGTTTGGGGGGCAGAAAGGCTCTGAGGAATGCTATTCCGAACGGAATTAAACTCAAAAGGAAGAATTTGGTTTTATTTTTATCCCCCTCGGCTTTCTCTTTGTTGTTTCTTGTTTTTTTTGTGTAGCGGCGAAGAGCAGTAGCGGTCCAACAGGGTAAAATTTGGCAGCTGCAGTTAAAAAGTTAAAAAGTTGAGGTTAACTGGGGGCGCGTGGAAATTCCGCGTGTAGGAAGCACAAAACAGGGGAACGGGGCACGTGTAACGCACGGGATTGAATGAGGTGGAGGACTTGAGGTGGTGTCCGCTCCGCTGCTGAGCGAGTCCCTGGGGAAAAGGGTGGGCGAGTGACAAATGGGATGTTAAGGCGCAACTCGGAAGTGGCCAAGTGTGATTTGGAGCGCTCGTCCTTGACGTAAAACACTTGAGGCAACGCACGGAGCCCTTGTCTGCGGAGCAGCACGGCCAAAAGAGACGGAGCAAAGGGAGGAAGGCTGTTAAATGTGACCTGTCCACACGGAACGGTCGTCGTACTGGTTGTGACTGATGAGGAGGAGACTTAACTTCTCTCTCAACTGGAGTCTTGCTTATGCCGGAGCTGGGATTAGGCCTGTGAGGCTTCAGTTGCACATTTCCAGGAGCTTTGTCCACGAGGTGGTGCCGGGCTATCGCTTATTCCACTCATTTTCGCAGAGGATTGCTTGGCAGTGAAACAGAGCAGCTCCTTTCCCTGTCCGTGTCCCTGTCCCATTCCCACAGGCAGATGTTTCCCTGACAAAGGGAACTTGGATTGTTCCAAGTGACTTAGCTCAGAACGTTGTCAGTCTTTCTTGGCAGTGTGGAAGCGGTTAAACAGTGTTTGGTCAAGAGTTCCTCACCTTGCCAAACTCGGTTGTTGCCCAGGGAATGGCACTCTCTCTGTCCCAAAGTTACAGCTGCAAAGAGCACGGTATCCCTCTGGCTGGAAAAGTGCCCCGGTGAGCCAGGCTTGGCTTTGACCCTGAGGTTTGCCGGCTGTAACACCGTGCAACACCTGGAAGGGCAACTCGTGGCTTTGGAAAGCTCCGACTCACTCAGGCTGTGGCTGGGGAGTGAGCGTCAGTGCTCGGTGTCCTGGAGTGCTCGGTGTCCTGGGATGCTCGGTGTCCTGGGCCAAAACGCTCCTCCTCGCGGTACAGCGTGATCCAAAGGGCAGGGGGCTGCACTGGGGTTGAACACGGAGCTTTTCGGAGGTCTCTGGCTCTCACAACCACTGGTTTACATTTGGGGCGAGGGGCTGAGGGAGCTGTCGGCACCGCAGAAACGGTCTCTGTTGTCTGTCCAGCCTGGGGGACATCTGGACATGCAAATGAGTGCTGGTTCCATCACAGCCTCCTGCTCCTGCTAGGGAGGTGTGGTTTACGCTAAGCAAAACCAGCAACAAAAGAAACCTCCTGACTAGTAATTTTTTGTTTCTGCAGTGTGGGTGGGTGGTTGTTTTGTGTTTTGTTGTTTTTTTTTTTTTCCTCCGAGTTGCCTTTCTCAGCCCAGAGTGAACAGCACCAAGCAGTGAATCCCAACTCTGGCTCTCGCAGGTTAAGACCGCGTACCGGCAGAAGGCCCTGACGTGTCACCCAGACAAGAACCCCGACCACCCCGGAGCAGGTAAGATGGGGCTGTGCAGGCACGAACGACTCTTCCTGTTTCTTTTCACATGTGCAGACGCTGGGAAGCAGCTCTGCCCCACTCTGTCTGTGCAGTAATTAAGGGAATGCCCAGGTACACATCACGTGAAGTATCCGCACCGCACGCAGGGCTAAGAGTTATTTTCGTCGCTGTTCGAGCTCTCTGGTTTTTGAGGAACGTGTTGGCTTTAGAGACATCAGCGTTAAGTCGGTACCGAGGTTCAATTTGCACCTCTCAAAGTCTTTCCTTGTGGTATGTGATCCCAGAGCTTTGGCCGTGCTGTCCCAGTGCCCACTGGCTGGTCGCTATTTAATAAATACCTCTGACAGTCGAAACACCAGGAGCAAAGGTTGTCGATCGTGTTGGTTATGGGCAGTGCCCGTTTTTGGCTGTTAGAGACAAGGTCCTGACTGGCACTGAGAGTAGCTACACTCTTAGCAAGGTCTGGCTTCTGCAGCTACTCTGTTTGTAAGTTGTGTAGCTACCAGCAGTGGTAACTGGAAGGATGCTGTTGGTCAGGACACCTCAGAAAAACCTGTTGTTCTGTATCTCGCGTTGTCCATTTTGGTAGGCTGCAGTCTGACAGACTAAAAACTTCAGTTTTCAGGCAAGTTTTGAGGGAAGTTGAGCCCAGGTGGGCTACGAGGCCCTGCGTCCGGCACGGCTGCGGGACCTGCGCCGCGATCGGCTCCTCACTGCACGCCGTTGCCCGGAGGAACCGCGGCCGCCCCGCACCCATTCCGTTGCCTCTCCTGGGTGCAGGGACACTCCGTGTCCCTGTTCCAGCACCGCTCTCTGCTGCGGGGTGCCCGTGAGTGCTCCCACCGAACTCGGTGCCCGGTGCTGCGGGACCTGCGCCCTCTGGAGGAAGGCGGGACGGCTGGTTTGGGGTGTAGAGCTCGTCCCTCGTCCCGATCCCTCCTCCTCTGCTGGTCACGCTGAGCTTGGCGCCCAGTGCTGCGGGACCTGAGCCGGGACCGGCTCCTTGTTGCGCGCCGTTGCCTGGAGGAATCCCGGCCTGCCCGCCGGCGCTGCTCGCTCCTCCCTGAGGATGCCGGGATGTCCTGCTCGGGTCTTGGAGCTTGGCCCTCATCACGGGCAAGCCCTGCTCCGCTGCTGACTCCTGCTTCTTCTTCAGGAGTGGTAGCCCTGGGTGTGCTGCAGCGTTCGTGGTGCCGCCACGGGAACATCCATTGGCCCCTGGCTGCGAGCCCGGACCCTGAGGAACGCGGCCAACGCTGTTGTGCAGTGCAGCGTCGAGGTCTTCCTCTGTTGTCGCAGTGCCTGATGTTGTGCACCTCGTATTCCTGGGGTCCCAGCTTGTGGAAGATGTGCTGAAAAGCCCCCTGGCAGGTGGGGCACACGGCTCGTCTGCGAGCCCACTTCTTTATGCAGGGAAAACAGAAAGTGTGCCTGCACCAGCTCACGCAGGCTTCGTCGGTAACGTTGTTCGGGCAGATCGGGCACTTTGGCTTCTCAGAGGCAGCTGCCAGCGCGACCAGGACCTCCTCTTCCTGGCTGGCTCTGGCAGCAGCGGAGGAGGTGCTCGGTTCTGCCAAGTCTTCCTCCGACGCCATCTCGTCGAGAAACGAGAGAGACAACCTGGAGATGCAACCTGCAGGAAGCGGCAGAGTGTGCAGGCAGGGGTCGGGAAGGCAGGAGAAGCTCCCGGCCTCTCAGCAAGGACAGCACAAGGGTGAGGATGCAGCAGGTCGGGACCAGCGTCCTGGGTCCTGCCGGCGTCTCTGTGTGTCGGATCCTCTCCTCGTTGGGCAGGGGGCCCACGGGATGGGAGTCCTGTGTCCCCCCTCCTGCAGGCAACAGTCTGCCGCGCTCGAGGACAGCAGTGTGGTCCTTTGGCTCTGCCGTGACAACAGTCCACAAGGGGACCGTTGTCCTGGGCGTCACCGTGACACTGGTGACATGGCAGAGCTTTAGGGGACCACAAGCCCCAGCCTTCAGGGCAAAAAAAAATGCCCCGTTTTGCAAGTGATGCTGGGCTCCCTGGTACAAGAGAGATGTGGAGATTCTGGAGAAAGTCCAACAGAGGGCCACAGGGGTGCCGAAGGCACTGGAGCACCTCTCCCATGAGGAATGGCTGAGCGCTGCTGATGAGGGAAGCTTACACGTCTCCATCGCACATGGGCACCAACCTTTGGGTACTTTTCCTCAGGTCTCTTAATTGCCAGGCAGATGCCAACCTTGGACTCTTTGCCAAGTGTCATTTGTTGGACCTGTCTGAGCCGTCTGCCCTGAGAGAAGACCAAGGAGCCATTTCTGACCTGGGCCAGTTTCTCTGCAGGGCCTCTGAACGAAGCCGTTGGAGATGGGTCTCTTGGGCTTCCTGTCCCTGCAGAGACAGTTTATTACAGTCTGACAGACTGAAAACTTGTGACTGTGGTACAGAGAACGTTTTTCCATCAGAAAAAAAAAGAGGTGTTAGCAGCAGCAGCAGCAGTGAGAGGAAAGCTGAGGGCTTTGGCATCTGCAGAAGGTTGAGAAGTGGTCTGAAGTGTTTGGAGAGGCCCCGGGCTGTGTGCGTAACGTGCCAGGAGGGGGGGTCAGCAATGGTGATGGGAAACGGCGAGTTCGAATGTGGGGCTGGATCGCTGTCGATGTGGAAGGCAGAATTTGTTGGTAGGAGGGTATGTGGGCCGAGCGATGCGTTTCTGTGGGTGGGTTGTGTTGCATTCCTGTGTTCAAGATTTCCGTTAAAATTCATTGGTCCCAGGTTTGTTTCTTAATTTACACTAAAGTTTATGTAACAAATGTTGTCCTTTGAGTTGAGGTGGCCCTGGCTGTTGGTTGGCTCACAAATGCTTTGGGAAGATTGTGGTTCTTTCTGGTGTTCTGCAGGTCTCTTCCAAGGGGATTGTCTCTTCTGGTTCCTCTGCATGATTTTCTACATCTTACCATTTTTTCTTCTGATTCCCAGCGGAAGTCTTCCACCAGCTGTCTCAGGCCTTAGCCGTGCTAACAGATGCAGCAGCAAGGGTAAGGATGCCGGTCCCTTGGTGGTGTTGGGATTGTGTGGTGTTACTCTCTGCAAGCATGATGGAAAAGTACTGGAAACTCTCTTCCAATCTGTCCCACTCTCTCCTCCGGCTGTGCCTCGTTGAATCCAAGTCTCATCTGTTATTCCCTGTAGTTCTCCGTGAGATCAAATAGTAGGTGCCAGATAAAAACTTAGACAAGTATTCTTTTTCTGATTTGGTGTGCTGGGAGTAGCTCTGTCCTTTTGTGCAAGGGTGAGATACTGGCTTTAATAATTTGTTAAACTGGGACATATCCCATTAAAAAAAAAAAAAACCACAGAACGATAACTGCCACTGATTTAGGGACACGTGACATTCCCATGACAACGGTGCATTTGCAGTTCCTGTAAAGTCAAGGCCTGACAAATAAATAATATCCAGAGGTGACTGCTGAGGCTCAAAGCCTTTCTGTCCATGGGGCACAAGGGACTTGTCAACAGAAAAGCTGAATCAGAGTCACATTCTCTGTCCTTTTGCCACAAGAGCTTTGCGGGCTGCCAGGTGAAGGGAAGGAATAAAAACAAAATGAAAATGAGCAAGTAACTCTATCCAGATAACCTCAGGAGAGAGGGCATGTTAAAATTTCAGGTGATAAGATTTAAAAATATAGAATAACTCTCCCCTTTTCAAACATTGGCCTCGCTCATAATCTCCCCTCCAAAGGGCGGTTAAGCTTTTGGCATCCAAGGACTTTCTGGCTTCTACATTTTGGAAAGGAAAAAGCGTTCAGCAAACCCTTCCCATGCAGGAAGGAAAAATAGCAGCTTTTTTAGTTTGTAAAACAAGAGCAGTGTTTCCTGTACAACTATTCTGCAAGTAATATTTGAGCATTTGTGGCAGTCTGTGCTTTACCTACTACTGCAGAAAGGTTCTGTGCAGGTTGATGAACAGACTGTCAACTGGTTTAAGCAGGTGCCAGTGAGATTCCCAGATTACTCCAGTGCTTCAGTCTCTGTAGTGCTAAACCAATGTGGATGTGTTATTGCTGCTGAAGAGTTCTGGTGCTCTTTGATCTAATACGTTCATGTGAGTCAAACAGCTGTCTTGTAAATACATATTTCATATAAAATAGACCTTTTTAATTGTAAAACTTTGCTCTAAACCAAACCTATGCCCCTAAAGCTACTTTCAGCATGTTCAGGAAACCAAAATGTTCTTCCCTCCTCTGAAGAGGGGTCAGACTTTCTCTCCAGTACACTTTGCAGTTATTCCTGGACTTCCTCACCCTGTCAGTCTCCATCTGGAGATCCCTGGCCCTTGCCTCGTGTTTTCAGGGTGTTTGTGTTAACTTCCAACACTTTTAGGAGGGATGCTGGCAAGAAGCAGAAAGTGCTTCACCTCTGCTTACAGTGCTTCAGTGTCTGATCTCACCTGTGTTCCCTGCTTTCCATTTTCTCTCGTGCCGCACGTCGTTTCACGCTGCTGTGTCGGTTCTTTGACAGGCGGCGTACGACAAAGCGAGAAGGGCTAAGAAGCAAGCAGAAGAAAGGACACAAAAACTTGATGCGAAGCGAAAGAAAGTAAAGCTTGGTAATGAAATCAAATCTTCACTTTCTCTTGGCTTGAAGTCTTCGTTAGCTGGGTGTTTGCATTTCCTCTACTGCTGGAATTCACCACTGATTAATCCGCTGTCCATTTGTGATGGCTGCGTTTTCTTCATGCCCAGTACAGTACTGTGTATGGAAATGATCCAGAGTCATTTCCCACAGTCATAGCTGAGGATGGTCCTGTTCTGGGAAGGAATTAGGCGTTTTCATCACTGTTAAGACTGCTGATACTTTGATGTGCCTGGCCAGAGGAGAGGTAGCAGAGCTATCGGGACTCTACTTTGAAATTGGTGTTGGTGTAGCCAAGCTTGTGATCTTCCCGTCTGTCTCTGGTCGACAGCGTCAGCAATGAAAATTCTCTTTGGATCGTTAGAACTTTTGTTTCCTTCTCTGCAGATCTTGAAGCCAGAGAACGAGAAGCTCAGACCCATGAGAGTGAAGAGGAGGAGATCAGGATAACGAGGTCATTAGAACAAGAGGTAATGATAAATTCTTAGGTTTCTCTGTTTGAGAAGAATTGCTGAAAGTCTTCACAATCGTAGTGAAAACCACGTGATGAGATGCAGCAAATCTGTGTGTAGCCTTTTGGGTTAATGGGCTCTATGAAAGAGAGGCATGGAGAAGGGGTCTTGTAGCAGTCTGGCAAATGTGTCAGTCTTGGGATTTTACTTTTTGTCTGCCCTTTTCCTTTTGCTTAGCAGACAATAACAACAGCTAGTTGGTTTTATGTTGGCGGGTGGAGACTATCACTAGGAACATGAGGGGTCCAATTTTATGAGTGCTGGAGCTCTCTCAGGGGAACTAGCAGGAGAATTGCCCCAGGAGATGGGTATAAGACAAAAGCTCTCCTTGACAGTCTTTAGCTGGCATGAACCAACCATAGAGCTGTGCCCTCAGATGTCTGTGCTGTCTTACCTCTGCTGTAGATAATACGCCTGCGTGAAGAAGGCTCCCGTCAGCTTGAGGAGCAGCAGAGGCTCATTCAGGAACAGATCCGGCTTGAAAGAGAGCAGCACATCCAAGGTGAGATGGAATTGGAGCCCACAGCCAAACTGCACACACTTGGGACCCCACCTCTTCTGTAGACAGAGCTCCCACACAGGTGCAGCCTTGTGACTTGGCCACGTTGCCATGTACAGGATCCCACTTCACACCTGTCTCGGGGATGTCAGAAGACTAGTGTTGCTGTGGGGCTGCATTCTCATATGTGGCATGCTGCTCCTTTTCAGTAAATGTTCTAAAGCATTGAATCTAGAGGGTCTGATGTGGAGCCTCACAGTTACGCTGGAGGGAACCTGAGGTCCTCATCTGTCACAGCGAAAGCAGTGAGTGTTGCAGACTCGAAACAGGGAATGATTCAAGTTCGCAAAAAGCAATAGTTGTCATTGGGTTACTGCTTCTCTGTCCCCTTGAAATTTCTCACTACTTATCACCCAAAAGAGACTCAGAGTGGAGAATAAAGTTTTGTTTAGTCTGTGGTTGCTGAGGCTTTGCTTTCTGGAACTCGATTCTCCCGTGTTCCTTGGGCGTACGCAGTCGTCATCCCAGGTTGGTGTAAAGACCAGCAGCAAATCTGTCAGGAAACGAGCAACACACTGAACTCAAAACATCAGTGTTCTGTGCTGCCATACAACAATAGGTCATTACCATGTTTGAAGTTGTCTCTAATTCTCATGGGCTGTTCAGTAGCTGTAGTTACTCTCCTTCATACAGGAGGAGATGAGATTTTTTTCCAGAATCCCAGAACCTCATCCTTTGGTGTGCCTGAACCTCACTCCCATCCACACGTCTCTATCTCTTGCCTTTTTTAATGTTCTGAATCTGTGTGGTCTTAAAATCCTGTTTTATGTTTCAGAAAGTTCTGTTGTTCTTTTCAAGACTAGAGTGCTGTTCAGGTTTTCAGTTCAATGGAAAGATTTATTGTCTCTTGCTTCCTACCCCTTTCATTCTGGCAGAGGCTGTAGTATAAGATCTGTGGCTTTCTCACAAGAAAAATACTGATCTAATGAGTTTTTAAAAAAAACAACAAAACAAACAACAACAGCAAAATACATAAGAGGTCCAGATGCAGAAATTTTTGGAGATCACCAGGGTTTTCCTGTATGACTCTGTGGAAGTCATTCAGCCCACCCTCACCTTTCTTAATGTCACATACCAGGAGTCAGGGAGGATGTTGACCTTTGTGTAAACCACCGAGATCCTTGCAAAGAGACCACATCATTATAAAGTGTTTAGTGGCAGGGCCAGATTGAACTCTTAGGCTGCCCTATCCCTTTTTTTTGTCTCCCCTTATTTTTTCTGCACTTGTTCCCACCAGCACAACCCTCTTGCAGGGAGAAATGTCGCAGAATCTAACAGATCTCCTGCTTGTCTTTTTACTTAGCGGTTTCCAGCCTTGATCATGGCAAGACTGGGCATCATAGAAGGGAAAAATGCCGACACCCAATATTCAGTTCCTAGTGATAGTGTTGCACAAGACTTTTGGGGCTGAAACGGTCGTGGAAATCCCGATGTATTTGCTATTGCCATGCATACATTCTCAGGGCGAATTTTGTGCTAAATGCTCTTTAGCAGAGGATTTTTCACTCATGTCCTTTCCATCTTTTTTTCCTTTCCTCTCTCTAGGCAAGCCAGAAAGAGATGGAGCAGAAGGCAAAATAACTCCCAAACTCAAAGTAAGACATCCTTATAAAGCAGGGTTTTGGTGAAAACTGATAGAACGTTGGGCAGCTTTGGAAGACAGAAGGGGTGCTCCAACTCTGCTGAACTGGCATGTCCCGTTGGACAGAGGTGAAGTTCCCCTTATCTAACGCGTATCGTGCCCGCGAACAGCTCCTGTCACTGCCTTTGGAATACCGATCCTCCCTCATCGTTTTTTCTACTGTCTCATCCAGATTTTTGAGCCTGAAGTTGAGTTGTCTCTGCTTTAGGCATGGGGAAACATCTGCCTGGTACCCAGATGTAGCCATTAGTACGCTTCCAAAGTATTACCTTCTTATTTCAGTGAGCACAGTTTCTCCCCGTTCCCCAAATAGTTTGTTCCCTTTGCACATTCCGATGTTGAAATCACTGTCTTGGCAATGCTGGGAGTGTAGCTGCAAATAGCAAACTGTGTTATTGTGCAGGTGGCAGGAGCTGCAGTGAATGTGGCAAGATGTGTTCAAATGGGCAAAATTAACTTGTCGTGTTTATTTCCCAGCTGAAATGGAAATGCAGCAAAGAAGATGAGACGAGGGGGGGATACTCAAAAGACGTTCTGCTGCGGATCCTACAAAAGGTCCTGTCTGACACTCTTTATCTTCCCCTGCTCTCAGTGGTGTGAGAAAGGATAGTAAGTTCTGGGAAGCTAGGTATAAAGCAGGGTGGCTCATCTGTTTTTTCTGTTGTCCAGCTTTCTCACTCATGCTGTTTTCAGAGATGAGCAGCGTGATCCGTTAGCTGTGAAGTGTTCCCCAGCCAGCACCCCTGTCTCACTCCCAGCAGGACTCCTGAAACAGAGCGACTGCAGGCTCTTCCCACTGAAGGGGTCCTGTCCTGTATGAAAGTTAGACTGGCTGTGTGGTTATGGTGCACTTTTGCCTTCGCTTAAAGCGCTATACATTAGCTGCTGTGGGAAGTTCAGAGCCAGGAATAGACAAGTCTTTGATCTGATTAATCCCAGCATGTGGTTCTTTATTTTCCCTATCTCCTGTAGCTCTGACTCTGAGCTGAGCAGCCCTCTCGCACTGGGCTTGCTGGAAGCAAAGCGTGTAGCTCCGTGCCTCCCCAGAATTGCTTCCTGGAGGGACAGGAATTATGACAGGTTGAGATCAGTGGAAGCAACGTGCAAGACAGAAAGGGTGACGGCTCAAGCCTCACGTCTGTGAAAACACATGTTTTTCTTTACGTTCGTTCCATAGATGAACTTGACTTCTCTTCTGGGTCTGTAATTAACTTTTCTTTCTTTCTTTGTCTTCACAGTATGGCGATGTGCTCAATTTGTTGATCTCAAGTAGGAAGATGGGGAGTGCAGTCGTGGAATTTGCTACGGTTAAGGCTGCTGTAAGTCTGGCGGAGACCACGGATGTGTGTGGTGGAGAGTGGGCAAGAAGGGGTGTTGCAGAAGGGAAGGGTTAGCAGGCTGATGGCCTGGAGACGCTGCCTTGTCATTAAGGCAGTGGAGAAGGGTAATGAGAGTCTGAAGGTACAGATGCATGAAGGGAGTGGCAGAGCTGGAGGCGCAAACCCAGCGCAGGTCACGCACATAAACAAGCAGGCTGTGCGTGTGAAAGGCTGAAGAAAGAGACACTGCATCAGAAAGCAGGCACTGAGCCATCTAATCAGCTCTCACCGAAGGTGAATTGTGGAGAGGAGCTTAAGGAGTTTTAGCGGTTGTATCAGGGGTTTGCAGTTTAAAAGAAATCAAAACGTCTTGACTCGCTGTGAGTTATAATAATTCCTGTGGCTGTGGAAGCAGAAATCATTAGTTACCCTTAATATTAGTAGTTCCATCAACTTAAACTTAATGCTGTACAAGAGTCTCTATTCCTTGTCACCTCTTCTCTCTCCCTTATATATCCAAATAATCAAAAAACCCCAAATGGTCTGTGACCTGTTTATCAAAAGCACTGGCAGTGATGTGTTTGTTCTCTGCTCGATGCAGATGTGGACTGAAAGGGCACTTCTGACGTAGGGCAGCTGTGAAATCTTCCTTGTTTGTGCCCTACTTGGCCTTGATGCCAGGCTGAGATGGAAGAACCCTTACGATTGTTAGTGACCTGTGAGGGAGTGGGTCTGAAATTCAGGTGATGATGGAGGAATGTTTTCATTGTCAGGAGATGGCTGTGAAGAATGAAGTTGGCCTGATAAGTAATCCTCTAAAGATTTCCTGGCTGGAGGGCCAGCCCCGGAACAATCCCAGCACTGTACTTTCTGACAGCACTAGTCAACCTAGAACTTCACAGGTAAGGAGACATGGGCTGCTGTTATTTTAATCTGTTTCTGTAGCAACTTAAATTTAACAGTGTGCTTTGCATTTATGGTAAGATAACGTTGATTCCCAGCAGAGCTGACAAGAAGCTCTTCATGAAAGAAGCAGCTCTCTCCTTTCTACTGGTTTTATATGTAA